TAAACCACTTAGAGGCTTCTCTCAAAAAGGAAATTAAGCTTGAATGTTTAGGTGCGGGTAAAAGTAATTTTTACTTATTTTTGTAAAGCGTTAATTTTGTGTAAAATTATAGGGACAAGCGATTCACAACGGAACCTGGTCAATGATGTGGGTGATACTGTTGTTTTTTTAGATATGTTTTCCTATTGCAGTAGAAATGCGCAAGTCACTTTAGTAGAGAAACTACAGTAGAAAATAGTCAGATTTCAAAATTGTAAACATTAATATCATTCATACTTGATCAAACATATAGCTTTCAAGGGTACCAAAGTGTGAATCAAGTGTTGCCATATAACTGCATGGAAGGTTATTAAAAATTTCGCTTACATTCTCTTTAAATATCGTATTTAGTATTAAAATCGGATATCATAGGATCGGTCTTGCATTTATAGAACAAGGGTCCAGAAATCCGTTTTATGACTTGGTTTGAGCTTAAGTGTCAAATTTAGCGCCATAAAAAGAAATCTATTTCTACATGCAGTTTACTAATACATATGCCTTACACCTGAATCAACATAGGACTATACCTAACCCTNCAAATTAATATATTTTTGAATTTACTCCAATTTTGTGTTTAAGACGAAAACGTGATAGTAAAGGTTAAACACTTATTGTTTATCAAGTAACAAAGGATAATTTTACACAAAATTTAGAGAAAAAATTTAATAAAAACTGTTAGTGATAAAATCAAAATGGCTCGTTGGACTTCATACATTAGGAGGACCGTATAATTTTTTAGCATTTTTTAACAGTTTTTAAGATAGTAATAGTTATTGTCAATCATAGAAGTCTTTAAGACAACTCAAGCATTTTGAAACAATGATATCATAAAATGTTAATATCCACATTTTTAAATTTTTCCTTCGAAAACTATTACTAGGAAACCAGGCCTGAACAATCGGTTGAACAATCGTAATAAAAAGTTGTAAAAAATTTGCGGATTTCTGCAACTCTGACTAAAATCCTGGAATCCCGGAAATGTTGGAAGCGCTTCCATGCCGCGGTCACAGAGTCCTATAGGCAGGTGTACACTGTACTGTACACACTGTTCAATCCTAGACCACAATTGTAAAATAATAAAAAGGGTAATGAGCATTTAACCTTCAATATCTTTTTATCTTGCAAATTTGAAATATTTTTCATTTCCGTTTTCAATCTCATTTATGCCGTTTTAAAGTTTAGCATTCAAATCATAAATCTTGGTTTTAAGCCCCATATAATTGAACTGCATTTAGGCAAAATAAGAATATAATGTTAATTTTCTACAATTGACTTTATATTCCATAGGTTTATGTGTAAAATTGTAATATTTCTCCGAGATGATAACTTTATATTCCATAGGTTTATGTGTAAAATTGTAGTATTTNACCTAGAGAAGGGTGTATGTATATCAGGGTGTATACTTGAATAGAGCTATATAATATAGACCTAGAACAGGGTTTATGTATATCAGGGTGTATACTTGAATAGAGCTAAACAATTTAGAGTTAAATGTCTAAAAATGACTAAACATTAATTTAGTTCTTATTTATTATAATGTAAACCACTTAAATTGCAAAACTAAATTTGCACCATTCTTATCTGCACTTTGTCAGCTGAAGCGTATTTGTTCATTATTATTAATTTGTTTAATTTGTTTCTTAACTATCTCCAGTTTCACGCATCATTTAATAAACAATAATTACGGTATTTTGGTTTAAATTATGTATCTTATAATAATCTAAATAGTGCCATTTAGTTCATGATTGGTTTTAAAATTTCAAATTCACATTAAATGAACAATCGTTTTGTTATTAATAAATCCAAACTTTTAAACAATTATCTGGAACCCATAAAAGTTTTTTATTAAAAATCAACTTGCTAAGAAAATGTTAAACGTGTACAGTGTACACTGCTCAGTTTACAGTGTGCACTGCTTACTGTACACTGCTCACTGTGCAGTGTACACTGCTCAATTTCGGGTTTTTCATTTTAATTGGATTATTTGAGTTTGACAGTCGTCTTCCTTCTCCACAGTTTATAATGTACATGCACTTTGTCATGATTTTGCAGAAAATCTGCGAGGGACAAATGAAGAAAAGATTTGCAAAAGTGTCATTAAGTATTTTTCTTTTATAAACTTTTTCAAGGTATTGTCATTGTACTAAACCAGAGGGAGTAAACCATGTAAATCATGTTTTAAGTACCAATGATTTATGTTGAGATAGATAGATGGATAGACAGAAAAATAGATGGGTAGATAGATAGATACGTGTAGATAGATATTTAGATAGGTGAATTTAAAGTTAGATATATAATAGATACAGATTGAAGAAAAGGATTGGACTAATTGACTTTTCTATTTGATGCATTGTGATGCATCATGGCTCCTCCGCGCCAGATTAAACTAGTTCATTAAACATTGATAACACGAACAGAAATAATGTTGCTAGAGAAAACAATAACAGAGAAAGAAGACAAGGAGACAAGGATGCAAGGAGACAAGGAGACAAAAAGACAAGGAGACAAGGAGACAAGGAGACAAGAAGACAAGAAGACAAAGAGACAAGGAGACAAGGAGACAAGAAGACATGGAGACAAGGAGACAAGGAGACAAGAAGACAAGGAGACAAGGAGACAAAAAGACAAGAAGACAAAGAGACAAGGAGACAAGGAGACAAGAAGACATGGAGACAAGGAGACAAGGAGACAAGAAGACAAGGAGACAAGGAGACAAAAAGACAAGGAGACAAGAAGACAAGGAGACAAGGATACAAGCAGACAAGCAGACAAGCAGACAAGCAGACAAGCAGACAAGCAGACACGCAGACAAGGAGACAAGGATATGGAGACAAGGAGACATGGAGACTTGGAGACAAGGAGACAAGAAAAAAAGGAGACAAGCAGACAAGAAAACAAGGAAACAAGCAGACAAGGAGACAAGCACACAAGGAGACAAGCAGACAAGGAGACAAGCAGACAAGGAGACAAGCAGACAAGGGGACAAGCAGACAAGGAGACAAGCAGACAAGGAGACAAGCAGACAAGGAGACAAGCAGACAAGGAGACAAGCAGACAAGGAGACAAGCAGAC